CATGGGACCACAACTGCTGGCAGGTGATGATCACTAATCGTCTACTTAATTTAGCATGATTTCAGTTATAGTGGATTCTCTTTGCATCATATACAGTGGAACCTCAGAACTTGAACTTAATCCGTTCCAGAAGGCTGTTCGAGTTCCGATTTCTCAACATTTCCCATAAAAATTAATGAAAATGTTATTAATCCGTTCCAGACCCCCAAAATTAAAGCATTTTAACACAAATTCTACAGTATAATAATACCTTACATGCATGAAATCATATAGAAAAACACAGTAAATGGAATAAAAATGGGACTTCACTTTACCTGTAATGACGAGAGTTGATGGCGTAAGTGGAAAGGAGAAGAGATATTATTGTTTTGATGGGGATAAGTAACTGTTTTTCCGGCATTTAAAATGTGTCTAAAGTGAGACATAGCTTTATAATTGAACATGTTTGTGGCATGATTTGTTCGGGTACCGGGGATCGTTCACATACTGAGACATTTTTTTACTCTAAATTTTTGTTCAACTTCTGTATTGTTCAAGAAAGGGACGGTCAGGTTCCGAGGTTTCACTGTTCCTCATTCAGAAGTAGGAATAGGAAAGTCTCATCTTAAACGCGTCTCTTAAAGGGTTAATCATCAGTGACTCTCAACCTATGAAAAAGAAGTAGCGAAATTCATTTATCGGAGTGTACATCTTCACAATATGACAATATTGTGTCGGCTTATTAAGTAGTTCAACCCATGTGATATAATGAATAAAACTACTGCTGAGTATATCTCATAAACTTCTGATGGACAAGGTTTAATGAGATACCCCACAGACCAGGAATCCAAGGCTCCTGATTGGTGTAGTCTCTTCCTGGTCTGAGCAATGGTCAGATATTGCTGTTTGCCTTAGGTTGTTCAACCATTGCCATAAGTATAAAAGTGATTATCTGATTATCTTTGTCTAAAAATAACCAGGAATTTTCAAACCTAAAAAGGTCAAGAAAAATAACTAATTTGAAGAATTCCTGAGTAAGTGAATATCCCTTGGAGTAAGTAAATGGGTATCTGTTTAATAATAGCCAACTATCAGAGTACGTGGTCGCATGGCAAACAAGCTCCATCTTTGTGATTTGATTACTTCAGATTATTGAGGAGTGTGACGAAGTGCCCTTCGCCACTTGGTCCTGGAGAGGCCTACTTGCCAGCCTCCTCCCCTGTGACTATGACTCTTTGATGTATTTGGCTTTAAAGCCCCTATTCTACCTTCAGACAGACTATTTATGTATGTTGCTTTATTTCTCTTATGTTTTAGTCACCCTGCACCCATTATAGGTGAAGGGTGTGTGTAATGTAATTGTTTATAGTGTGTGTGTGTACTGTGAAATGTATTGCCTGCTCTCCTGTACTGCTGAGGTTTGCTACCAACTAGGTGGGTTTGGCTATGGAGCTTGTCTAGTGCCCTCTGTTGGTAGCAACAGCAATATGCACTACCTGAATAGCAAGACTGGTTCATTTGCATATTCGGGTAGATTTGCATATTACTCATTCTGCAGGCACGTGAGATATTTTCTGTTAAATATTGTCTCCCCCAACTCTTTAAAAATATGCTATTGTGTTATAATAAGTCACTGTATGTTGCCTGCTATGATTTGGCTGTTTGTAATTTTATTGAGTTTTCACAGCATTGTTAATGTAATGACCATATGGGCTAGTCCCAAGTAAAATAAAAGTTTGGACAGTTCTTTTTGATTCCCCTAAATCAGGGGTGTCAAACTCAAATTCATCGGGGGCTGCATCAGCAGTTTGGTCACCCTCAAAGGGCCGGTTGTATCTGTAGGACTATGTGTCCACTCTTTATTATCATAAATTATTGTCACTGCATTCAATTATTACATGGGCAGAACGGGTGTATGGGGGGCAGTACGTGTGTATGGGGGGCAGTACGTGTGTATGGGGGGCAGTGTGTGCATATGGGGCAGTATGTGCGTTTGGGGGCAGTGTGTGTGTATGGGGGGCAGTGTGTATGGGTGTATGGGGGGCAGTGTGTGTGTATGGGGGCAGTATGGGTGTATGGGGCAGTGTGTGTATGGGGGGCAGTGTGGGTGTATGGGGGCAGTGTGTGTATTTGGGGGGCAGTATGTGTATGGGGGGCAGTGTGTGTATGGGGCAGTGTGTGTATGGGGGGCAGTATGTGTGTATGGGGGGCAGTATGGGTGTATGGGGGCAGTGTGGGTGTATGGGGGCAGTGTGTGTGTATGGGGGGCACTGTGTGTGTGTAGAGTGTGTGTGTGTGATATAAGGGTAGGGGGGCTTTTATATATTATATATATATATAATTTTAATTAAAATATATATTTATGTCCCCCCCTCCCTTCTTACCTTTAATGGGGGGAGGGGGTACATTTCCCTGGTGGTCCGGTGGGGGATTCATTGGTGGTCCCAGTGGGGAGAGTGAACTCTAGCCCACGCTCCAGGGCTAGAGTTCACTCTCGCGAGATTTGGAGCGTTGCCGTGGTAACCGCGGCAACGCTCCAACTCCCGCGAGAGGAGGACCCGGAGGAGCTGCAGCCTGAGCTCCGGGTCCTCTATCCCTCCCTCCCCCGCCGGCTGTCAGCACTGTGCCTGCGGACCAGGGAGGGTGATCTGTGATCTCCCCTCCGGTCCGCAGGCACATTGCTGGGCTGGCATGAGAGGGAGACCGTCGGTATTCTCAGGGGGGGCAATTGCCCCGTAGCCCCCCACCCCTGGATCCGCCACTGGGCTGGCGGCCGGCGGCGGCTACACGGGCCACATGACGAGGTCTGGCGGGCCGGATTTGGCCCGCGGGCCTTGTGTTTGACACCCGTGCTCTAAATGTAGCATTGTCTTGTTATTGGAGGGAGCCGTTATAATCACACTGGGGGTTGCTATGCTCTGCATACTCCCCTGAGCTTGAATCACTTAGCTCTTTGAAGAGCTTGTCCCTGACACTGAAGATGCTGGAGGTTCATACAGGGTGGAAGGTAGAGGTCTTTCCCACATGGTCCTGGAGGACAGAAGCTGATCCAGGGTGGAAGGAAGACGGCGAGACTCCAGTCAAGCTACAGCGGTTGCAGAGTCTGCGGTGGTTGTGGTCCTCGGCGCAAGCTAGGAAGCATCCATCAACGGAGGGTACTCGGTCGGAGTACGGGCAGCTCCGTTACAAGGAGATACTCACCAAGCCGTTTTAGCGAAGGCTGACAATATGGGAAGGAGATCCAAACAAAAAGTGACGCTCTTTGGAGGGAAAGCTACTCGAGAATTACACATCAATCATTGGATGGCAATTCAGACTACACAGATACCAAATGAGACTTAAAACAGGTCTTACAGGACACAGGGCAACTACTTGCCCCAGACATCAAGGCAATCCGAGAGGAGGATATATGTTGTGTTAAAACCTCAGTGACTTGTCTTCTAAACGTGCGGCCTTGGAGGACAGTTGCAGGCAAAAAGGACATCGTTGACTCTATTGTTCTTCAGCAGTTGCCAGATTTAGATTTTTTTTTTTACAGCACCTACCCACCACAATGCTTCTCCTTCCCCTGAAGCTTCCAAGGTCTTCAAGTCTGGAGAGATTCTTCCGTCTCCATCTTTGCCTAATCGCCTGGAGCTCCAGGAAATGCTTTGGGAGATGTGATCACCTGCCAAAACCATAAGATAGTTCAGACCACACTAATGGTAGTGGTAAGGAATAACCCAGGTTATTATTCCACCCTGACCTTACTAGGGGCTCTCTAAGATGACGACAGTCTATGAAGACACTTACTGTCTTATTATGAGCTCCCTCCATACGATACAGATGGAGCCTCACCCACTACGTATTAATTACCACAGAGAAAGTCACCCTTAGGATTAAAGATCCACTGGATAACCTGGGATACTAACTGCCTCACAACCTACCACTTCTACTTCTAAGAAATCCATACGGAGACATACCTGGGATGTCACCAAAGTCCAGCCTTTCCAACCATTACAGAGCCAGTTTGCACCTGGATCTAAACAAACCTTGAGATTTGAATTTGCATTTCATGGACTTTGGTTCTTTTTTTATGCTTCTCTTCATGGAAAGCCTTCCAAAGCTGGTCAAGCTTAGTTTTCGTACCTAACCTCTCGGTATCAAGTCTTGTATTTATTAAATTATGGCGACCTTATGCGAATAGCTTTATATGTTTCGTTACACTAGATCTCTTTTTTCCCCTTCGAATCTCCCTTAGTCATTATCGATCTGAAATGTCCTGATCTTCATGTCCTAGATGTTCATTAGGAGACCAGTCTTATTCCTTTATTGTACCATTCAACTATTCAGATTAACAGACATTCTCTTTGGTAATTTTATTTCCTGAGCAGCATTTGCATCCTAGATCAGATCAGATTCTATATTAACTGCTCGGAATCTGGATCTGAGTTATTACTGCACAAAAAAAATTAGTTTTTACTTTGTGATTTATTTATTTTTACTATCTGTATTAATTTATGCCACACAAAAAAATAAAAATAATAACGTGAAAGATTGCTCACTAATGGACTATAGAGATTCAGCTTTGAACAGAAACAGTGTTCCGTATTACAGTATTTAGGACAAGGTCTGGATTAATGCACTTTTTGCAGGATTGTAAGACAGACTGATGTACAAATAGATCTGTTGAAAAGTCCTTGGGATAATGTATCAATCACAATGAATATTCTGTTGTAAATGAATTTGTATGTCCTCACATTAAAAGCAACAGGAGCTGATGTAGGGAGCCTTGATCGCCTGAAAAAAAACAATGAAAGGATGCACATCATTGAAAAATTGGCAGCAGTCCCCTGAGCTTGAAAGAACTGAAAAATTAGGCTGTATGCTACTGCAGCCCACACACTGTGCAGTTGCAAAAAATGATTTAATACAACTTGCAGTCAGGACCGAATTGACATAGGGGCTGATGGAGCTAAAGCTCCGGGCCCATGGGATAGGCCCACTGATTAATTTGTTTAATTATTATTATTTTATATTTTTCCTACGTTTCACATGCATTTGCTTTGTGCACAGGGAATTAAATATGGAAATCTAAGTGGGATCCAGTGAGCAAAACTTGTGTGGACTGGCTGACAATGAAATTAGGTAAGGCAAAGCTGACTTTGCGGACTATGCAAATGCTCTTGTTGTTTTGGTCTCTTGAACACTGTCCCCCTTTAGTCTTCACTCACTACATCTACCTTTTCTCAGTCCCAGACTATATACCAGGAGCTTCTCTCTGATATTAAGAAGGGAAGGAGAGGCATGGACACAGTGAGTGCTAGGGTACAGTCTCCAGAAAGCATATAGCGAACACATAATTAGATGATTTGCATCAAACTCAGGGCATTGTCTGCATAGTACATTCTCAGCTGGCCACCATGCATGATTAGTGGGCAGCCTGCAATGCATTCATGCCAGGCGGACCTTACAATTCTTCGGGCAGACCCTCCCCCTTTCTGTTATCTCCGCCCCATTGGTAGGAGCCGGTTACATGATTTGCGTCAGTGGCCCACCCAGGGCCGGACTGGGAACAAAAAGCAGCCCTGGACATTTTTTACACCAGCTCTAACATTAATTGTGCCACCTGTGACAGATATACAGGTGGAAAAACACAAAAGATTGAAAATTATTTACCCAACGTTTCATCCCCAAAACTTGAATAGCCCAGTAATGGGAATGAAATATTGACTGAATGCTGCTGCATGCCTGATTTAAAGTAATCTTATTTTGTTTAGTCCTTAATCCTATGAGTGCACTCGGAGTTGGATGTAGTTTGATACCAGGGAATGAAAGGCTGAGAGAAGGGCAGGGGTATCCACTAAACTAAGAATATTTGAGAATAAATTCCAAAAATTAGGCTACAATAGTCAAGCTGTCACTATGGCTAAGTTGGCTTTTTCAAATCTCCTGTTTTGGTCTAAATTACGCAATTTAGATTTTCACTTCCAAAAATTTGAAATTTAGCGAATAACCCTTTGGCGAATTTGAAATCCTTGTTACATTTATATACGTGTGTGTAAATTCCAAATGTGTATTATGTATGCATATATGTCTATTAACATATGTGTATCATACTGATGTTTGTATAGATATTATAAACATAATAATTTATAAGATTACGTATGTATGTATATATATATATAGCTTGACAAATTTGGTATCTAGCAGCCAGTTAGAAAAGTTAGGACCCAGAGAAATCAATGCCAAAAATTCAATTTTTAAAGGGACGCTATAGTATGAATATAGATAGATTTATCATACACATAAATTAATATGATTTGTGCAAATATATAGATGCCTAATACTCCCACAAATCACATAGATAAAGCAAAACTATATTTATTTATTTTTATTCAATCTGTTGTTTTAAATAAATATTTTTTTATTTATTTTTTTAAATACAGATATAGTCAGACACATGGATTTTTAATTAATGGATGCTCACATAATGATAAACTCAGCAGTCCTCCATACACCAACATGGAATTCAACAGCACTCTACAAGACAAAGATAAACTCAGCAGTCCTCAATACACCAACATGGAGTTCAGCAGCACTTGACAAGACAGTGACAGTGAATTTAGTAGCACTCCAGGAAACACAATGATGACCTTGGCACATCCTTCTATGCCAACACTAAACTCAGCAGTACTCCACAGATATAAACTTGGCAGCTCTCTGTAGATCTAATTAATAACCCAGCAGTTCTCTGTATGCCAATACTAAACTCAGCAATTATTCACAGAGTTTAATGAACTGGGCAGTTCATAATACAATACTAAACTCAGCTGCATTCCACAGATATAAATATGAACATATGAAGCATTTCTCTGTACACCGTCACTAAACTCAGCTTCAATCCTTTGATGAAATTGACAGCTTTCTATAGATTTGATGATGAGATAATCAGTTCTTCGTGCTGCAGAACCAAACTCAGCAGCACTCCACACGCATAATTATGAATTCAGCAGTTCTATGTACACTGCTGAAGTGCACTGAAAATAGCAACTCTCCAGCTAAATTAAGATTCACATTTAAGCATTACTTATTTTAAAGAGGAACCAGATGGTACAAATTCAGATGTACTCGTTCTGTTGAATCAAGTAAATTTTAAACAGATTTACTTTTGGTAAATATAAGAAGACTCTGTGATTTAAATCCCCAAACAAGAAACCAGAACACACAGTTTTAAAGTGAATTAACATACCATAGTTTAGTTTTAAACAAGGACTAGCCTTTGTATACTTGTCCTTAAGCATGTGGTGAAAAACCATAAAAATACAAACAAACATACATAACTTGACAGACAAACATCCTAATACTGCATCAAACATATAATACAATCACAGCTTTCCAAATTATAGAATTACACAGCTGTACAAATGCAACGGGTCAGTTGTCTGCACTTTCCTAATTTGCATATTGCAATAATACAAATAAATCAATGTATTTTCCAGTCTCCACCAACATAGGGAGATTCATAATAAGCCTGAAAGAATCCCCTTTTTAAACAAGGATATCCGAACCTTGCAAACCCAAAACAGGGGAGAAGCAGATGTCCCCTATGTACTTGCCTCCACAAAACAAAACCTAATTGCATGCCAGGGCCCATAGTCAGTTGGAAGGAAGCTGACCTGCAGTCCTCCACAAGTACCATGGTAGTGAATAACCCTTTTATCAAGGCACTCAGCAGTTGTACATAATATTAAATTAAGTAGTTGGATATACACTGATCTCCATACTCAACAGTAAATGCAAAGCTTTCCAAAGCTATAACAGTGGGATAAGCAATAGAATAATTTCACAGATACATCACCAAACTCAGCAGTTTTCCATGTACTTAAACAATAAACTCAGCAGATGTACATATAGCAAACATGAGATAGCTATATATGCAATATTATACTACGCTGTTCTCCATAGAGTTAACACTGAACTCAGCACAGCCGCATACCAAAAACTGAACTCAGCAGAGTCCCATACCAAACACTGAACTCAGCAGAGTCCCATACCAAACACTGAATTCAGCAGAGCCCCATACTAAACACTACAGGGAGTGCAGAATTATTAGGCAAGTTGTATTTTTGAGGATTAATTTTATTATTGAACAACAACCATGTTCTCAATGAACCCAAAAAACTCATTAATATCAAAGCTGAATATTTTTGGAAGTAGTTTTTAGTTTGTTTTTAGTTTTAGCTATGTTAGGGGGATATCTGTGTGTGCAGGTGACTATTACTGTGCATAATTATTAGGCAACTTAACAAAAAACAAATATATACCCATTTCAATTATTTATTATTACCAGTGAAACCAATATAACATCTCAACATTCACAAATATACATTTCTGACATTCAAAAACAAAACAAAAACAAATCAGTGACCAATATAGCCACCTTTCTTTGCAAGGACACTCAAAAGCCTGCCATCCATGGATTCTGTCAGTGTTTTGATCTGTTCACCATCAACATTGCGTGCAGCAGCAACCACAGCCTCCCAGACACTGTTCAGAGAGGTGTACTGTTTTCCCTCCTTGTAAATCTCACATTTGAGGATGGACCACAGGTTCTCAATGGGGTTCAGATCAGGTGAACAAGGAGGCCATGTCATTAGATTTTCTTCTTTTATACCCTTTCTTGCCAGCCACGCTGTGGAGTACTTGGACGCGTGTGATGGAGCATTGTCCTGCATGAAAATCATGTTTTTCTTGAAGGATGCAGACTTCTTCCTGTACCACTGCTTGAAGAAGGTGTCTTCCAGGAACTGGCAGTAGGACTGGGAGTTGAGCTTGACTCCATCCTCAACCCGAAAAGGCCCCACAAGCTCATCTTTGATGATACCAGCCCAAACCAGTACTCCACCTCCACCTTGCTGGCGTCTGAGTCGGACTGGAGCTCTCTGCCCTTTACCAATCCAGCCACGGGCCCATCCATCTGGCCCATCAAGACTCACTCTCATTTCATCAGTCCATAAAACCTTAGAAAAATCAGTCTTGAGATATTTCTTGGCCCAGTCTTGACGTTTCAGCTTGTGTGTCTTGTTCAGTGGTGGTCGTCTTTCAGCCTTTCTTACCTTGGCCATGTCTCTGAGTATTGCACACCTTGTGCTTTTGGGCACTCCAGTGATGTTGCAGCTCTGAAATATGGCCAAACTGGTGGCAAGTGGCATCGTGGCAGCTGCACGCTTGACTTTTCTCAGTTCATGGGCAGTTATTTTGCGCCTTGGTTTTTCCACACGCTTCTTGCGACCCTGTTGACTATTTTGAATGAAACGCTTGATTGTTCGATGATCACGCTTCAGAAGCTTTGCAATTTTAAGAGTGCTGCATCCCTCTGCAAGATATCTCACTATTTTTGACTTTTCTGAGCCTGTCAAGTCCTTCTTTTGACCCATTTTGCCAAAGGAAAGGAAGTTGCCTAATAATTATGCACACCTGATATAGGGTGTTGATGTCATTAGACCACACCCCTTCTCATTACAGAGATGCACATCACCTAATATGCTTAATTGGTAGTAGGCTTTCGAGCCTATACAGCTTGGAGTAAGACAACATGCATAAAGAGGATGATGTGGTCAAAATACTCATTTGCCTAATAATTCTGCACTCCCTGTAGGCATGTGCATGGGGAAAATTTTCGGTTCGGCATCCGAAATTCGGGACTTTGGCAATTCGGAACTTCAGCGATTCGGTTTGGAACTTTGACACTTCGGAACTTTGGCAACTTCGGCACTTTGGAATTTCGGCATTTCAGGGCTTCGGCACTTCAGGACTTCTCTTGCAGCCGCTTAGTAGATAACTCCCTAAGTTATGTACCCAAAGGCTGAAAGACCTAAATTGGTCTTTCAGCCAAATTTACTAATACTAAGAAAAATTCGGCAATTCATCTATTCAGACATTCGGAAGTACCCGAATGTCCGAATTGCCCGAAATTCGTCCAAATTCACATTTGTACCGAAACGAATTGCACATGTCTACCAAACACTGACCTCCACAGAACCTTACACCAAACACTGAACTCTGTAGAGCCCTATACCAAACACTGAACTCAGCAGAGCCTCATACCAAACACTGAACTCAGTAGAGCCCCACACCAAACACTGAACTCAGCAGACCCTCATATCAAACACTGAACTCCACAGAGCCCCATACCAAACACTGAACCCAGCAGAGCCCCATACCAAACACTGAATTCAGCAGAGCCACATACCAAACACTGAATCCAGCAGAGCCCCATACCAAACACTGAACTCTGTATCTCATTATAGACTTATAACAGTGAACTAACCAAAACTATATAATACACAACACTGAACCCAGACATAACAGTGAACTCAGCAGCTCTCTGTAGACTACTGCTACTACTGAACAGGAGAAAGCTTGCTGTGTTCTGTTGCATAGATCAGAAAGATTCTGAATGCAGGGTTCTTTTTCTCCAAGATGTTGAATGGATTTACTAGGTGGACTCCTGTGGGATAGCATAACCTAGTAAGCAAAGTATATAGAATTTATATTGCTTCTACAGTCAAAGTGCCGTTCTCATTGATTGAAGTTCTACGCCAGGGGTTCTGTGTCAGCGAAATCTAATGACGTGTAAATAATCGTCTTCTAAGGGTCCTTGGCTGTAAAGTTATTGTAGATTGAATCGGTATTTGTATAAAATAACATTGTGAGAATGCAGTGTTAAATGCCAAGATTTGAATAAAGAACCTTGTAGAACAGAGAAATGACTCCAACTGGTACCTAAGGTGACAGCCTCTAATCTAATTACTCTACCATATTTTTTGGTGAAAGTATAACATAATCGGACTTAAATTTGAACATGTTACTTGTTGTCCTCTAGATTGTACGCTTGTTTGTGCAGTATTTTTCCTGCAACATTTTGCAATTGTCTCATTTATTGTTAAATGTCCCCCTTTATAATATTGTAAAGCGCTGATGAATACGTTGGTGCTATGTAAATGCCAATAATACTAATAATAATGGGGTGATTTTTTTTTTTGCAGTAGTAAAATATAATCGGGTCCTGTGTAAGCCATGGCTTGTCCCAGGATTACTAAGGATTAGGGGGTAGGGGGCAGGGCCGGCGCCACCTGTAAGACGACCTAGGCAGGATCCCTGCACCCGGCGGCTCCTCATGCTGCGCCGCCTGAGCGCTTTTACAAGCGTCAGGCGGTGCAGCACTGCTGTGGAGGGCGGCCGGATTTGAGTGACCGGCAGGAGGGAAGCGCAGAGTGCTCCCTCCCGCCGGTCTCTCGATGTAGCGTGGCCGGGCGGCGCGGAACGCGGGACAGGAACCTCTGTTTCCTGTACTCGGCCGCCGGCGGACTGAAGGGAAGTGCGTTCCGCGCCGCCTGGCCACGCTACATACGCGGGCAAGGACCACCAGGGGAGGGGGACAAGTAAGGACCACGAGGGGAGGGGGGGACAAGTAAGGACCAAGAGGGGAGGGCAGGGGGGAGGACAAGTAAGGACCCTAAGGGAGGGGGACAAGTAAGGACCACAAGGGGGAGGAGTAGGGGAGGGGGACAATGGGACTACCACAAGGGAGAGGGAAGGGGAACAAGTAAGGACCACAAGGGAGGGAGGACAAGTGTTTCCTGAGGGAGGAGGGGACAATGGGACCACGAGGGAGGGACAAGTAAGACCACGAGGGGAGGGAGGGGGACAGAAATGGGACTACAAGGGGAGGGAACAAGTAAGGACCCTGGGGAGGGAAGGGACAAATACAAGGATATACAAGGGGAGGGGGACGACAAGTAAGGACTCACAAGGGGAGGGAAGGGGAACAATGGAACCACAAGGGAACAGTAAGGACCACAAGGGGAGGGAGGGGGGACAAGTAAGGACCACAAGGGGGAGGGAGGGAACAAGTAGGACCACAAAGAGAGGGGGGAGGAGGAGACAAGTAAGGACCACAAGGAGGGGGGTAGGTAAGGACCACAGGGGGAGGGGGAGGTAAGGATCACCAGGGGAGGGTGTAAGGACCACCAGGGGAGGGGGTAAGGACCACCAGGGGGGGAGGGGGAGGTAAGGACCACCAGGGGTAAGGACAGGAGATGGAGTAAGGACCACTGGGGGAGGAGTGGGGAGTAAGGACCACTGGGGGAGGAGGGGGGAGGAAGGACAACTGGGGGAGGAAGGGGGGAGTAAGAACCACTGGGGAAGGGGGGGTGGGGAGTAAGGACCACTGAGGGAGGGGAGGTAAGGACCACTGAGGGAGGAGGGGGGAGGTCCACTAAGGGGTTTGGGAGAGGGAGGACCACCAAAGGGGGGTAAGTAGGGAGGACCACTAAGGAGAGGGGAGGAGGGTAAGGACCACTAAGGGGGGGGGGGAGAAAGAGGATAATGACCACTTAGGAGGGGGAGATTACCACTAAGGGGGTGGGGGGAGGAGGGGAATGTCTAAGGGGAGGGATGGAGGACCACTAAGGGGGAGTGAGAAGACCACCAAGGGGGGACTACAGGGGGCCAAGGGAGAGCACTAAGGGACAGGAGGGAAGGGGAAATCAATAATTGACAGGAGGGTGAGCACTATGCAAAAAATAAAAAAAATAAAGAGCTGCTCCCCTCTCAGTCCCTATCCTACCCCACAAACCCTCTCTTTTACACTACACACATACACAATGCATCCCCCCCCCCACACACACACACAGAAACATACAATGCATTCCTACTCACACACAGACACACCCGAAACACACAATGCATCCCTTACGTTCACACAAACTCATTCTCTTACACACAGAAACAAAATGCATCTCTTACACAATCAATGCACCCCTTACAGACACACACTGCATTCAATTAAATACACAGAAACACACCTTGCACCCCTTACACACACACACACACACACCCAGAAACATACAATGCATTCCTTACACGCAAACACACACTGCATCCCCTATAAACACACTACATCCCTTATACAAATTGGTATCCCTATACACTACATTCTATAAGAACACAAACACATTACATCCTCTACAATAACACATAAAACATCACATACACACATACTCTCCACTTCCTGTGAGAGAACTCACGGGTGGGCCATGTAGCTGGATTTATGGGTGGGCATTGTAGGCATACTCACGGTCAAGCCCTGGGGGCCCAGACCCTGAGCTGTGTAAAGGGCCCTAAAAAATGGAGCTGCTTCCTGTTCGTTAATTGTTGTGAGCACTGTTACAAACAGTCTCCAGAGAGCCTCTTCTACACCAGACCTGTGGAGCCAGACAGAGCCCATCATCAGCCTCTTGTCCTCATCTGGTGGTAAGTAGGCAATCCAATATATTATTAGTGGCACTAATCTCTAATTTACCTCACATTAACTGGATACTATAGTCACCAGAAGCACTACAGCTTAATGTAGTGGTTCTGGTGTCTATAGCCTGTGCCTGTAGGCTTTTTAATGAAGACACACTGTCTTTTCAGATAAAAGACACTTTGTGAAGACTGGCGTTGGCCCATATGGCAGAGCATATGGGTGGGGCATTGTGATGTCACATGGTGGGCAGGACATATGGGTGGGGGGGGGCGGCAAAATCTTTTTTGCCTAGGGCGGCAAAAATCCTTGCACCTGCCCTGGTATGGGGTGATCGCTCTGGGTTTATTTCAGTTGGGAGAATGTATTTTCTTGATTTCTGTTTTTTACAAAACATATGTTTTAGGTTTAGTCTATTCTTCACGTAATTTGCTAGCCAAGATGCCTGTGACTGGGGCTTAATGCACTTATTCACAAAGGGGCTTATTCACTAAACACTTACCTGTACTAAACTGAGAACCACATTGCAAAATTTAGGTAACAATACATGTGATTTGAAGAAAAAAAATCTCAGACTCTGATATAATCACAGCTTGACAATTGTAGCCTACGTATTCTAATTCAGCTTTTAGTTCACAAGACAATTTGTTTTATAAATCACTCAGCCGTGATACTATATGGCAGTTTGATGTATATGTTATGTGTGCCATGAATTTGCGTGCTGTGTGAAATGTCTGTTGTGTCTTATTTATGTATTATGCAAGAAAAAGGGTCAAAACAAGTCACATAGTGATGCTGCTAGCCGCTCTGTTCTTAAAAGTACACTCCAACCCCTAAAGCCCTTCAGTACTTGCGGACAAAGACAAAGATGAGTAAATTTATCTTAAGGTTTAGGAGGGCACCTGGTAGCTGATAGGATATTCTAAACATTGATACTAAATACTGATATTAAGGTTGGAGTGTTCCTTTAAGGCATTTTTCATACAGCAATTTTTAATGCTGCCATTGGGGTTAGGGGGTTAGTGTTAGAGCATAGCACTTAATGATTTATAATTGAGTGACAATGGAATAAGGGTTAATCCTCATACAGTGCTCTCTATCACAGCAATGATGTAGTTGCTGTGATAGAGAGCGCTGTAGTTGCTTAGATATTCCCCTGGTGAGCACACCCCAGGTTCTTCCAGTGGAGTGTAGAAACATAGTGAAACAAGCTAAGCGCTGGTGTCATGTGCCCTGTGTAGGCAAGTTTGGGACATAGGAGTGGGAGGTGGAAGTTACATTAGACACAATACTCACAGGGTTATTGAACTGGACAATTTTTCTAAGTCCACTATACTTTGAGTTCGGCTGCTCTGGCCTTAAATTTGAAATTCACTTTGAGTTCACTTTACACTTTACATTCTCACTCTTGTAAATAACCTTGTCCGTGTCGTCAGAGGTCACGCAGGATAGTGAATTGACGACTGTTTGAGAGTGATGGGACTAATGAGGTTATGTTTAGTGAGCAGACTATCCACGAGGGTTTGGAGATATACCCCTCTCTGTTAGCACAGAGGTAAGCCGGTATCGCACGTTCTGTAAATACGAGCTCCATTCTAACGGTCTTACAGAAACGCTCTCTTGTGATTTAATCACTGTTCCGACATGACAATAACAGAGATGGGCATTTCAGAATTACTGCTTTGATTTATCATTTTATTAATGAATAAAATCCGCCTTCTGTCATCTATGGAATTGTTTTAATAAACGCTTCTAGCTATGTTTGTTGTTACAATCAAACCACAGCAAAAGTAAACATAAGCCACACCGGCGCGCAGATCGACGTATTTGTGCTCACTACTGCACCTGAGCAAATATATGCAGGATGTGTTTAGCAGAATTAAAACAAGGACAAATATTACAATTAACTCCCTCTGCACAAGGTTTTATTGCAGTTGTTTGATCTTTTATAAAAACCGCATCTACACGTTACGAAATACCTTTAACATATTTTTGAAGTTGTGTATTTTCCCTAAAGGAACACTTGAACCCCAATAGCAATTTAGCTTGCTGAAGATCATTATATATGAAGAGTGTGTTCTTTTTTTTTTTTAATACTACAAAAAGTGCAGCTTTCAGTACAAATTGTCACTTTTATAAATTAACCTGGTTACACCCCCACGGCTGTCAATCAGGAAACCGTTCCTGTCACTTCCTGGTTTTGTTAGCTCACTGGAGCTAAACTCAAAAGGCAGCAATTGTTTAGAGCACCTGCCTTGCAAAGACTTTTCATGCAGCTGTATTGAGAAGTCTATGATTGGACAGCCACAGAAAGTCTGGGAGGGGTTAGAAAGGGAGGGCTTACAAAGGCAGCAGATAAGAGAACTGCAGTTTTCCCAAACTGTTTTTAGATATACCTACAGTGACACAAAGCATAATTTAATACATATATGTTTTCATTAGGGGTAAATCTACTAAACATTGATTTTTTAATTTATTTTTGTATTTGGACAGTGGAGTGTCCACTTCAGGTGCCGCAGTACATTCAGCCATCTGAAAACAGAGACGTGGATTGTCTGACGTGGATCCGCAGTAATATAGCTATACAAATAGTGAGATATCTTCCTCATGTTGTTGGGAGGCTTGGCAGGTAATGTGAGATTTCTATAATTCTCCTGTGACATTTACTTTGAAGTTATAGTATGATCCAACAATACAGCACTCCGGAATATGTTGTTATTTTATCATTAATAATAATAATCCCTTAATTTGTTATTTTACAGTGAATGCTGCAAGGCATATGTATGTAATACTGTTTCAATTTAAATTAAATCTATTTTTTCTTTACATTTATTTTGACATTTGCTTTTTTTTCTTCACCACAATAACCGGCGTAATTCTAGGCTGGAGGCGTCTGGCTGTCTATAATGATGACTTCTTAGATCACAAAGTATGTGATGTAAAGACTGAAATCTCAAGGTCATTCCCAATGGTTTAGATTATTGGACAATCTCAGTGATTTCAAAGTGAATTTAATATTTTACGCCACAACCGCCGAGAAAGGATAAAAGTCCACATTCCACATTTTAGTGTAAAACACAGTCTTTGTTATGCTAATCCTGATTCCGCACCCTTAAGCCTTAAAGTGGAATCATCATCCCTGTAAATCACACGACTAGATAAAACATTGAAAATCACCTATAACTTGTGTTAAACTTTTTTGTGATACGCTGCTTTTCCTTTTAAAATGTATATTAAAGATTTAGGAGGAACGCCACAATCCCGGCACAGTTGCGTACACCAGTGGTTTATCCTGGTTTTGTGCTGCCCTAGGCGTACACATTGAAAATGAGGAGGACAAATAGAAACATAACGTTGTCTAATTTCTTACCTTTGTCTTTGCTGATTGACAGGTGCCAATGACAGAACAGGGAGCCAAGATGGAGGCATCCAGTTGCAGAATAAAAAGGTACGGATTCAGATGAGTTCCACATTGAAAGAGCTCACAGAGCCCTGCGCCCCCCTAGAAGAAGCGGCCTGCCACGCGATGTCATTTGCTGCCTACTATCCTTCCAGCTCAAAGAAGCCATTATGCGAGCGGCCAGGCCTCAGGTTATTACCTTTCAAGACGCCACAATCACCCTCTACCAAGACCTCTCGGCCCTCACTCTGGAGGCCTGCCGTGCCCTGAGGCCCCTCATACGCCTTCTACAAGAACGAAGAATCCCATATAAATGGGTATTCCCCTTTAGTCTCCAGGCCGCAAGGACAATATCTGGCGCTCCATGCGATGGCCAAATGATGCCCCCGGGTTCCTGAGAGCCCTGAGCCTCCCGGCCATATCGGTGCCAAACTGGATACTGGATAGCCCTCCACCACGACCAGGCCAACCAGAGGAGGCCGTAAAGCCCCCCTCAGCGGAGAGGTGGACCGAATGGCCTAGAGGAATAAAAAGCACCACTGATCCACAGAGCCCGGCATTGGCGTTCCCTCGCGGCCTGGGCTACCCTTCTTTCTATCTATACGCTGGCTTGAGGATGGTGCCAGAGCTTCACAGCTAAGTACTTTTGTACTGTTAATTTGGACTCAGGGCCTGTCAGCCATCTAGCCTCCAGGTTTGGGTGGTACGGTGATGGGGGATAGTCTGGGGTGGGCACCGCAGATGGGGTTCTGGAAGACCAGGGCTCCCAAATAGCACCCATGCCCACACTTAGCCACCGCTGGGTATTCACCATGCCAATATGACCCCCACGCCTTTCCCCCCACCCCCACTGGTGGTAACACCGCCGAACTGATGTAGGCCGCATGCCCCATCATGAGCTGATGCCCCACGACGGCCAAGTACGGGGTCCGCCAGACAACGCGCTTTCTGGACTCCTCAACCCGACAGGCACTATGTGGGATATTGAACTGAGGAGGCTTCCCCCTGGGCATAGGAGGGCCTTGTGGGACCTCACAGTTATGGAGCAGCCGGGTTCTGAAGATTGGGTGAGCACAGATATGGGGACGATTTGGGTGGAGAGGGGGTCTCTGTGTTTATGTGTTTTCACATTATAAATGTATATGTTGCTGCACGGATGAACACTGGTCTCATGTGACCGCCCATAGGCCTGACTATAGTGTTATGTGATGGGTGGGGGAGGGGCCACACATCACTCCTAAACCACCTGGGGTCCTTGTTGTCTCTTGGTACATTTAGGTACAGATAACCCCCCCTCCCTTTGCCCTCCCAACCCACCATTCACCAACCCTCCCAACCTACCCCTCTGTTCCTCTCCCTACTTCTCTCTTTCTCTACCCACTACGGCTCCATCTTTCGACTGGCTTCCCCTGCCGCCATGGCAACGAGCTTTCAGCACGCCCCACTGAGGTTCTGATCTCACAACGTCAGGGGACTCAACATCCCTGAAAAGAGGAAACAGCTGCTTAGGACGTTGAGGTTGCATAGGACCTCGGTTGCGTTCATCCAGGAGACGCACTTCAAGGAGGGCAACGCCCCCCACAATTAGTGACAGGCGCTTCAATCTTAGGCTATTACGCAAATCATCTACAAAAGATCTGGAATGGCGATTATGATAGCGCTGTCAGTCCCATTCCAATGTACTGCAACGCAGGTTGATGCCTCGGGCAGATATCTGTTTGTGAAGGGCACCATCACAGAACAGAGATATACCTTTGCTACAACCTACTGCCCCAATAAGGGACAACATTTGTTTCTTGCAAAAACACTGTCTCTCCTGGAGAAGTTTAGGGAGGCCTTCATTGTGCTATCCGGTGATCTCAACCTACCACTGGACCCCTGAATGGACTCCCTAGAGTTATTAGCGCCATCCCAATGCACTGTATCCGACGGGTCAAGCAGGTTCTTAACAGACTGGGATTAGCCGATTGCTGGAGGGTGGCGCACCCAGACGCTAGAGACTACACATGCTATTCTGCGGCACATAACCAATATTATAGAATTGACTATATTTTCCAGGCACAGGCATTCCTTCCCCTCCTAATCTCCTCTTTTATAGGGATTCAGGGTGTCGGACCACGCCCCAGTCTCAATCGAGTTTAAATTGCCCCTACTCCAAGCACGTGACTTTCAATGGAAGCTCAACAAAAACACGCTAACAGACGTGGAGTCTGTAACACAAACAACTCAAACACCTGACGTGGCCCCGCTAACCGTGCGCACAAATACGTGACATGGGGACATTTCATCAAACACTGCACTCAACACATAAGAAACTTTACCATACACATGACAGAACTAACACACAAAATAGCAACACTAGCTAACATAGGCCCTCAAACCTGCCAAGACCAACAAGGCCCCGGGCATGGACGGCCTCCCGGTCTCATATATACGTACTTTCAGAGAAGTTCTGCTCACGCACTTGTTGCGGGGTCTGAACTCCATCCTGACTGGAGGCCAATTTCCGGCGGATTCACTTCGCGCGGTTGTCACGGTAATACCAAAGAAAGGGAAAGATTCCTCCAGCTGCAGGAATTATCGGCCAATCTCGCTATTAAATGTGGATCTTAAACTTTTTGCCAAAACCATGGCATTGAGGCTGTCACGGGTGCTGCCCACCTTGGTCAACCCGGACCAGTTCCGATTCATCCGCGGGAGGGAAGCTAGGGACAATACCATCAATACCATCAGAGCCCTCAACATCATCCACTCCGCCCAGTCGACAAAAAGAGATCTGGTGCTCATCTCCACAGATGCTGTAAAGGCATTTGACCGGATGGACTGGACATATCTTGACGCCACACTACGTCATATGTGATTCAGCCCTCACCTGCGCTGTTGGCCCTCTAGACAACCCCTTCAGCCCGCATTCGGATCAACGGTGCCCTCTCTGTGACTTTTAATAGACAGAATGGCACCAGGCAGAGATGTCCCCTGTCCCCCCTCCTGTTTGCCCTCTCTCTAGAACCATTTCTGGAGGCGGTCAGGTGGGATGGGGGCATCACGGGGTACAGTCTGGGCCGCTCGGAACACCCGGTGGCTGCCTATGCGGATGATATGCTCTTTTTCCTGAATGAACCGTTGATTTCCCTACCCATCCTCTTACGTGCTTTCCAAGAATATGGCAAACTCTCGAATCTTAAACTGAACATTGGGAAATCGGATGCGCTCAGTGTGTCTCTTCCGAGGGATAAAGGGTCACACCTGAAAACACAATTCCACTTTATCTGGTGCGAGACGAAACTCAAATACCTAGGTATCTGGCTCCCGAAGGATCTGTCACACCTATCAGACCTGTATGTGTCCTGGTTCGGCCGCATCAACACAGTGAAGACAAACATCCTCAGACACCTTCTGTACTTGTTTCAAGTGGTGCCGGTAGTCATATCTAGAGTCTTTTTTCAATCCATTTCCACCGCAATCCGGAGGTTTGTCTGGAACAGACGGGCATCCAGGATCAGCAAAACGCTACTAGAACTACCCAAAAGTCGTGGTGGTACCGGGCTTCCATCGATACCTCCTTAGGATGACGGATTGGCATGCTTACCCAACCACTAATATTTAAGTCCACATGGAAAAAATACAAAAAATCATTACTCTCGCTCGACCACATGACCTTCAACACCCTGCGAACCGACCACCCAATGATCGATGCCACACTTCGAGTTTGGTGCTCCCTCCACTACTCATAGCAACTGCGCACATCCCCCAGCCCCTTGACACGCATTACACATAACCAGGATATCGGGGGAGGCCTCACACCATCGGACCTCCAAAATTCTTTCCACTCAGACTGGATGTACATACGCCAATTTACGGAGGGAAACAACCTTAAACCTCTTACTGACATTTTCCCCAACGCCCCTCCCTCCCCCCCACAGGCTTAGACACATTTCACTACTACCAGCTGAGGCCCTACCCTGCAGCTTTTCCCTGTAAACGGCTTCTACACAGAGACCTCACATAATTCAAAAGCCTTTGCATGGCTAGGCGACACATAGAGAAGGGGATCTCACTGCTATACGTGCTGCTTCTCAATGGAGAAATTAAACCTGTACATGGCTAAATGGGAAAGGGAGACGGGCGTCGCTAAATGGGAAAGGGAGACGGGAGTCACTTTGACCGAACAAGACTGGGACAAAATCCTCATACTCACCCACAGATGCTCCATCAGCTCGAAGTTTTAGGAGACAAGCTTTAAGCTGCTGTCCCACTGGTATAGAACACCCGACGCACTAAACCACATGAACGCAGACATATCAGACAAATGCTGGAGATGTGGGCATGCAACTGGTACAGCTCTACACATATGGTGGAACTGCCCTGACATAGCCCCTTTCTGGAAGATGGTAAACAGGAAGATCCGGCAGATCACAAACTCCGACCTACCACTCCAGCCCCTCCCCAAGCTACTACACCATACAGACGTGTCACTAAAAACATATAAAAAGTTACTCACAAAACATCTCCTGACAGCTGCAAAGTCTCTAATACCCACACAGTGGAAGCAAAAGGGTGCACCCACCTTCCGGCAATGGGTAGACAGAATAGGCAAGATCTACAACATGGAATCCTTGATTGCAAACCTACAGGGGCGCCTAGACAAAAGTACCAAGACTTGGGCACCATGGCTGCTATTTATCTCGATGGGCGATAGGGGAAGCTAAGCTTTTACCTGCTCCTCTTCTCTGCACTCCCTCCTCTTTCCCTCCCTCCCTCCCCCCTTTTCTTATAACATACATGTTCAGTCACACCCACCAAAGAGGAAGCCCCTTCTCAGCTCGGAGTAATCTATACAACAACGGGTCATTCTACCCATAATGGCTCCCAAATACCCGGAACACAGTTTTACCACATACATTTACTGCTTGCATCTTGGAGTCTAGGTACTCTCACCGGGTCGGAGCCCTAACTCCCAGTCCGCTATAGACATACACAGATTTGCATTACCGATATACGGTCCATGAGATCCTGGTAGCTGAGCACTCTTTACCCTGAAAGGGCTGCTGAATGATAGTTATGCTGGTTAACTCAAAATTTGCGATTACATCCATATGTGTGTCTGGTCCCTGGATATCAATATGCTGCCCGAATTCCAATTGTTGTTCTTACATTACTTTCACTATAGTTTGCCATTTGTGAACTTGTTGTAATGCATATATGTAATACCTCAATAAAAACAGATTGTCAAAACAATTTAAAAAGGTACGGATTTCTGCACTAAATGTTATTTTTCACACTTTGCAAATACATATTTGCTCAGTATTGGGTATACGTAAATTCATTAGTAAAATCCGAGGAAATGGCAGTTTCCCTTTAACTAGTCTACAGGGCCTGATGTGACGTATCAATAATTATCCAGAATCCCATAAACATTACAGCTAGATAGGCCAAGGCCACTTGAAATCAATACGACTGTACTTACCTCTAATGTAAATCCAAACAAATTGACATTCATTCACTAAAACGTGTTGTGAACTTTAAATGACATTCCCAAATACTCCAATTACAGAGATTTTTAATTTGTGCTTTGTCCAGCCCAGCTACTTTGGTCTAACTTTTGAAATTCCCTTGTCAATGCCCAGTTTAGATCGAAAAACGTTAAAAAACGCAAAGAGATTATGCTATGACTAACAATGTAACAATGTCTCCTTCCACTCAGGTTTAATTGACACGATCCTCTGCCTGTTTGGCTGCCCAGGAATATTCGATGTTAAAACATCAGCCAGAGAGACGTTAGTTAATTCAGGACTGACACATTAATGTTACTGGCGCATTAAAGGGAGGGGGCGAGGGTGTAATACTTTTATGGCCTTGGGCTTTTGTTATTCCAGTCTGCTGGGTCTATAGATTCAGTCACACAGTCTGGAACAAGCTCTGTACGCTACATCAATTTACTGATACCAGAATCTAACAGTTAAAGGACAACTGTCATCAATTTTTTACTTGTCATTTTTTTTTTTTTTAAAGTTTATTTTATTTAATGAATCTTGAAGGATTACTTCAACCACTATGACCACTTCTGCTTTTAGAAGTGGTCATGGTGGTAGGACTCTGTAGGTGCCGCATTTCAGCCTAAACCGCTTCGCATACAGAATAATCTGCACTTTTGTGCTGGGGGCTAGTTACACACATTACTTAGCAAGTGTAGAACTCAATACCGGGCTGTCTAATGTTAATTCTGTGCACAACGTATGGCTGTCATCAGCGCGCAACGCGTCCCCTTGCAAACAGTGCTGTCTGCAAAAGGAAGCTTCAGTGTCCCCTATTTTCCTCTGTGGGCTCCCCCCACCTCCCTCCAGTATAAGGAGCCTGTGGATCGGTCCATTCAATCACCTTTCTATTAGAAGTATATGACTGGGCCACGGAGACGGAGTCTGTGACATTAGACTGGGCGGGGAATCCAGCGAGGGGAGCTTCACTCGACACTAGGTTCCAGATACGTTTACCATTTTATTTGTGACCAACTGCTGCTCAACCTAACCTGCCTGCTGCTGCAGTTTCACATAGAACAGGGGTGCCAAAAGGTAGATCCACAGATATTGTAGAACTACAACTCCCATGATGCTTTGAAGGCCTTTGGAATGTTTTAGAATGACAAAACATCATGGAAGCTGTAGTTCTACAACACCTGGGGATCTACCTTTTGGGTACCCCTGCATAGAACAATGACAGCAGTTAGCAGGTTTGGTTTAGCAGCAATTGGTCTGGTAACAGTAGACAGGGCCGGATTAACATAGGGGCTGATGGAGCTGCAGCTCCAGGCCCAGGCCCAGGCCCATGGAATAGGCCCATTAAAAAAAAAAAAAACTTTTTTTTTTTTTTTTACACACTACTCTTGGGGTTGCCACCTGACTGGTATTTTACCAGCACAGACGGTATTTGAGGCTGCCTGGCCGTGCCGGTATTGCCATAATACCGGCAATACAAATGCAGATATTTTTCTCTGTATAAAGAGATTACTCTGCAATACCAGCACCGGTCACTGTGTGTGGAGAGAGGCAGGGATAGGAAGTTACAGCATATCCTTCCCTGCCTCTCTCTACTCACTGATCCGCAGGGGAACAGCTACACAGCACAGAGAGTTCAGACAGCAGCTCCCAGTCTGCAGAGACAGACTACAGCTCAGGGAAGTGAAGGATGGGGGGGAATGGGGGAAAGTGAGACACATGGGGACACAGGCACTAGGGGACACTGTGAGACATGGGGATGCTGAGACATATGGGGACGCTGTGATACATAGGGACATTGGGAGACACATTGGTACATGGAGACACTAGGGACATAGTGTCTCCATGTCTCCCAGTGTCACCATGTCTCCCAGCCAGTGTCTCAGTGTTCCCTAGTCTCCCAGTGTTTGTGTACCCATGTCTTTCAGCATGGGCGTAGGAACCGGGGGGGGGTAGGGGGGACGCATCCCCCCCGGCAAATCATGCGGGGGGGACAGGTTATGGGGAAATCCCCCCAGCTCCACCGGCCCCCCCCATGCTGCAGCCGCCCAAGAGAGCCTCAGGCGGCTGCAGCTTTGCCCGGGCGGTGCGTCCATGAGGGCAGACCGCACCGCCCGGGCGCAGCCTGAGGAGAGGGGCTCCCTCCTGTCACTCCCTCTCTGTAGCGTGGCCGAGCCCAGTATAGTCCGCGAGTACAGGATGCATCTGTCTCCTGTACCCGGCCGGACTAACAGGAAGTGCACACTAAGTGTGCACTTCCTGTTAGTCCGGCCGGGTACAGGAAACAAAAGCTACCTGTACCCGAGGACTATACTGGGCTCGGCCACGCTACAGAGAGGGAGTGACAAGGGAGGGAGGGGGAGAAAGTGACAAGGGAGGGAGGGGGAGAAAGTGACAAGGGGGGGAGTGGGAGA